CAGGTCGGCGGCAGTGTGTCTTTGGTGGGGGGGGGGGGGGGGGGGGGGGGGCTTTGTTCAGGGCCACTGAGCTTGTGGTGGGTCCCTTTTTGGGGACCTTGAGCCAAAGGCTCTGCGTTGGCCAGATCCTGCATGATCCCTCTTCCCTGCTCCCAGGCAGGGGGACAGCCCGCTGCTGCTGAGCACTGGGCAGGCTTTCAGCTGGCTTAGACGTTCCTGCCTCTTAATCATTAATCACAGGCTTAATTATTTTGTTTACATTCGACTTTATTTAATAGCTGTCATTATGTCCAGGCTGGTCACAGCTCACTAGAGCAAGTCCTGATTTTCAGCGTTTAGAGGAAAAAAGGGGAGGGAGAGGGAAACGAGGAGGAGAGCACAACAAGGGGACACAGCACTCAAAGGAGTAGGAGAGATGTTGGGCCTCCCATCCAGCAGCACCTGTGCTCGACAACATCTAACTACTGTGCAATGCCAGGGCCGCTTTTCAGATGGGAATCCCAAGCATTGTGCCCAAAGCTGAGAGCACTGGCTGGCAGCCTTTCCCCACTGGCACATGAAACGTCCCTCTCATGCATGTCATGAGGTGCAGGGGGCCTCTGCACAACTTGGGACAGCTTGGCGCTCCCCTGGGAGGGCCCGTTTTGTGGTTTCACCCCTCTCTCTTAGGTGAGGGTCCCCAGTCCCTGGACATGGATGGTCCCTTGGGCTCAGGATCCCTGAAGCCCTTTATCAGCAGGGGCTTCATTGGGCACCCTTGCTGTGTTGGCCAAACTCTCCAACACCATTTAGGAGAGGGGTGGAGGGGAGGCACAGCCACTGCTTGTTTAGGGCATGACCTTGTTATTGAAGAAGGTAATTAAACCTGCTTGGGATGCCTTTGCTCATTTGCCAGCTCCCCGCTGCCGCGCCAGTGCTGGGAAGGTTTTTCAGAAGGACGGCAGCGTCAAGCCCAGTGGCGGGCCCCCCCCAGCCGTTAATGAGTGCCCATTGCCAGTTTCCAATGCACCCACCATCCCCGATGGTGCAATATTTCTATGCTTAGCCAGCGTCTCCTCCCGCTTGCGCTGGTCGGGGCGGCGGCAGGGACCCAGATGGCACAATTGGGATGATGGATCTGGGATCACTTGGCTTGCAGCTTCACCTTGGGGGGGGCAAAGCAGCCTAGCAGCATCTCAGCCCAGGGAGCAGGAGAGATGCTGTCGGAGGGGAGCAGAGCTGGGATTTTTCCTTGGCTATGTTTAAACCCGGCAGGTAGCCAGGGAAGCCAGCTGAGGCAAGGGTTAACTTCCTGCAATGCAACCTGTGGTCCTCCACAACCCATGTGTTGTACAATGGGAGCAACACAGAGATTACCAGCACCCACACGGTTTTCTGCTCCAGCAACCCTAGCTAAAATTAACCAGGCTTAGGAGGCATTTGTAATGAGCCGGCGCGGAGGACATGGCAGCTGCACATGTTCAGCCTGGGCAATCCCCAAGGGCCTTTCCTGGCCAATTCTGCAGCCTGAGCCTGGGCTTTCACCTTGGAGCTTCTGATCCGTATGAATTTTGTCAAGCCCTTTTAGCTAAGCTGATGCCAGGGACGGAATATAAGTATAAAAATAATTTCTTACAGCTGACCTGTGTGCGGGTGAGGGTCCTGGGAAGGCTGGGACCCTCCAGACCACAGCCCATGGGCTAAGGAGCTCACAGCTGGGTTGCAGCACCTGGGCAGGGAGGTCTGGCCTCTCCCAGCCTGCGGGAGGAGGGAAACTGAGGCAGGAGATGCAAACCACCACCTCACCCCCTTCCCAACACAGCTCCCTTTGCATCCCCTCCTGGGGGGGTCTGAGCAAGGCGGCTTGGCAGCCGTGGGGCCCCTGGCTCTGCCCAGGCTGATAACAGTGCCTTTGTGCCGCCCGGTGCTGCACGAGCGGCTGCCGCTGCTGACTCAGGGCTTTTTCCCAGCCACCACTGCTGCGGGAGCCCCGTGACCCATCGGTGGGGGGGACCCTGCAAGGGGGAGGGGGGGTGGCAGCAAAGCAGCGAGGCAACGGCTCTGCAGAAAGCTGGCGGCTGCAGGAGCTGGCGTTACCCCTTGGCAGGGGCAAGGGACAGAGGGGACACCCTGAGCTGAGCAGGATCCGGTGAGTGCCTTCGCTTTCTCCGTGTGGTGTTTGATCAGCAAAAGCTCCTAATTAAAACAGGTGAAAGTCATCCTCGGCCACTCTGGCTGCACCCCAGAGCAGGTTACCCATCTCCTCCCATAGTGATAACCTGGGACATGTAGGGACATGTAACCTGGGGACAGCTGACCCTGGTGGCACTCCTGCTGTCCCCAAAGGAAAGGTGATCAGGGATCACGCACACCCCGCTGCCGCAGGGACAGCCTGGCTGGGGACCCCACGGTTTGTGTTGTGCACCGCAGGTTTCCCCTGCAGGGCAGGGGGAAAGGAGGATCCGGCTGGGTCCGCTGCGCTGGAGGCACCAGAAATGCAGGACAAAATGCTCCCTGACCCCCTCAGAGGACCCTGGGCTGGTCCCGGGGTCTTGGACATGTGGAGACAGGCTCTGCCCCCCGCAACACCCGCTTGACGATGGGAGCAGGGAACTGCAGGTCTCACCCTGCCCTTTGCTGACTGGCCTCAATTTACCAGAAACCCCTTTTGAAGAGCATCTTGAAGATCAATTTAATTTTATTTAATTTTATTTCAGAGTAGCCCAAGTCAGCCTCTTTGGTGTTACCCAAAATCCTGTCCTACCTTTGACCGACGGTGACTTGCCACCACAGCAGCACATATTCAGCTCCTCTCAACCCCAACCCTGCCCATAGTGACCTGCCCTCCAGCCTGGGCTCCCGGGATGGTCCCCAAACCCAAGCCCACCAAGTTAAACCCCAAACCCCTCCAAGGACAATCCAGCTCCCAGCCCACACCCCTAGCCGTGCCCAGCAGCTTGTCCCCCCTGCTTCATCAACCCACTAGGGTGGGACTGCAACTTTCTGCTGCAGATGCCATGGGCTCCCGGCACTTCCCCGCCCGGACCGTGCTCTTCGAGAAGGAGTCCAACGGCGTCACGTACCGTGTGCCCGCCCTGCTTTACCTGCCCTGTGTGGCCAAGCTGCTGGCTTTCGCGGAGGAGCGGCTGAGCGCCGACGATGCCCATGCCAACCTGCTGGTGCTGCGCCGTGGCACCATCTACAGGAGTTACGTGGAGGTGGGACAAGGGATGCACCCGGGGTTGGGGGGACATGCTGGGCTGCGGGCACGGGACAGCCAGGTGGTTGTCCTCCACTGCTTGTGCATGGCACAGCTGAGCTCCTGAAGGCACTCACATGGGAAAGGAACACTGCGTTGGGTGAAGTGGGGTAGTCCTCACCCCTCTCCATCCTCTCCTCCCGGGGCAGTGGGAAGACATGCGCGTGCTGGAGACGGCGACACTGCAGCACCACCGGTCGATGAACCCCTGCCCACTCTATGACGAGTTCACTGGCACCCTCTTCCTTTTCTTCATCACGGTGCTGGGCAGGACACCTGAAGCCTACCAGATTGTCACCGGCCAAAACGTCACCCGCCTCTGCTGCGTCACCAGCGCTGACCAGGGCCTGAGCTGGAGCATGGCCACAGACCTGACGCAGCAGGTCATTGGCGGGGCCATCAAAGGTAGCCCACTGGAGAGGGGTGAGGAGGGAGGAGGACAGCCAGCAGGGAAGGCAACCATGGGTTTTGGCCTCCTGGAGCCACCTATGGTGCTGCCAGAGGTGGCCTCGGGGTAGGGAGCCCACAAGCATCCAAGAGCAGAGATGGGGGGGAGAGGACCCCAAACAGAGGGGAGAGCAGATGGAGGGAGTATCTGCGTTGCTTGCACAGGGAGAGAGGAGATGGAGAGGCCCCGTAGCTATGGGTAGGACCATGCGCAAGGACAACCAGGCAGCACTGGGCTCTGCTGCCCTCCCACCCCACCACTTTGCTTGGCTAGGCTGGGGGGATGCTCTAGAGACCCATCCGCATTGGGCATGGTGGGGGCACCATGGAGGCCACTCTTCACCCCCATCCGTCCTCTGCTTCCCAGACTGGGCGACATTTGCGCTGGGCCCTGGGCATGGCATCCAGCTGCGGTCCGGCCGGCTGCTGGTGCCTGCCTACAGCTACCACATTGACTGCAAGGAGTGCTTCGGGCAGCTCTGCAGGACCACCCCTCACTCCTTCGCCTTCTACAGCGATGACCACGGCCGAGGCTGGCGCTTTGGGGAGTTCATCCCCAACCTGCAGACGGGTGAGTGCCAACTGGTCTCGGTGGACGAGGAGGATGGCTCCAACGTCCTCTACTGCAACGCCCGCAGCCCCTTGGGCTTCAGGGTCCAGGCACTCAGCACGGACGACGGGGCTGTCTTCCACGGGGGGCAGCTGGTCCAGCGGCTGGTCGAGCCCCCCCATGGCTGTCACGGCAGTGTTGTCGGCTTCCCTGCACCTTTTGTCTATGTTCCTGATGCCTCCCGGGACACCGTGATGCCCCTCCAGGGCTCAGCTCACCGGCTGCTCCCCAGGATGCTCCCCAGGTTTCGCTACCTGCCCATCCAGCGAGCAGCAGGTGATGAGCTGCCTGCCTTGGCCACTGGCAGCCACCACGAGCCAGCTGAGCCCGAGGAGGGCTGTCCTACCTCAGGGCATCACGGCCATGCCCACGGCAGCACCTCGGTCCGAGGGGACCCCAGGGCAACTCCCAGCCCCGCTGCCCTCTTCCAAGCACCAACATGGGTCCTCTACTCCCACCCCACCAGCCCCATGTCACGGGTCAACATGGGGGTTCACCTGAGCACATTCCCCAGGGACGCGGAGAGCTGGACCGAGCCGTGGGTCATCTATGAGGGCCCAAGCGCTTACTCAGACCTGGCTTACATGGAGCTGCCCTACAACGAGGCCTCCATCTCTGGTGGCCCGGCCATCGCTTTTGCCTGCCTCTACGAGAACGGGACACGGTCACCCTATGAGCAGATCTCCTTCAGCATGTTCACACTGCATGATGTGCTCCAGAACATCCCCCTGACAGCCACTGCTCCCTGGAGGGACAGTGGTCCCCCACGCCGCAGAAAGCGGGGGCGAAGGAGCTGCCTCGTCTCCTAGTGCCCCCCCAGGTCGGCTCCCCCTGGTCGCCCAGTGTCAGGCCCCAGGGCACCAACCCAGAGCCCAGCACACCAGGATGCTCACAGCCTGGGGTCCTGCCACGGGCCAGCATGGCCATATCACAGAAAAGGCATGTGCTACTGTCCCAAAATTGGGTTTTATCTCATTTTTATTGCTATTTTTTAATTATATAGTTGGTTGGGCATGGAGGCTTGTGCCACCAGCCCCAGGCTCCTTTCCAAGCACATGAGCCAACCCATGAAATACATAATGGGAGGCAACAGCAGCAATGCAGGGGAGAAAGCAGTCAGGGGCACCCCATGCCACCTGTGTGTGCCAGGTCGGGGGGACATAATGCTCCGGCTGTGCCATACCTGGTACTACCACCCTGCTCCAAGGGTTTTCCTCCTATGGTCATAAATATTTATGTTCCTTTTTTTATTGCTCCTTTTTAATCATCCTGTTCAAGCCAATTCCTCTTTTTCTCAACAGTCTCTCCAAAATCACCCAGTTGCTGTTTAATCTGGCTGATTGATTGTTTTGGTTTTTTTTAAGCTACCATGGACATTGCTACTTTCCTCTGAACCTTATCAGTTTTGGGCAAACATCCTCCCAGCACAGGCAGGTTCAGGCCTGTACCCACACTCAGTCCCTGTATCCCCACGTGGGGATGGGGGATGCACTGAAGCCAGTGACACCCCCTGCAAGTGCAGCGGCAGGTGGTGCGATGAGGTCCTGGGCCAGTGGGGATGTGATGCTGCTCCTAACATTTGCTGCATGCATGTGTGTGTGTGTATGGGTGAACTTTGGGGGACTACACCTCATTTCCAGCACTACCTCCTTCAGCACGACTCCATCCAAGTCCCCCAGCCTCAGCCGGAGCCCGGCTCGGCTCCTCCAGTCTCCTTCGTCCCTCCTGCCCTGCGTGGGAGACAAACAGCAACACAAGCTGCCCTAAATACAGATTGATTAACGAAAATAAGTTAGTGTTCCAGCTCTTATCTATAAATACCACCGTGTCACATTTTGCACTCGGGTGGGTGGAGGCTGATGAGGAGTGGCCGGGGAAGCTGTTGGGCTCATGCCGGGATGCCAGGAGCCAAGTCCTTACCTCTATCGCTCACCGGGCTGGTTTCCAACGCCAAATGGCTGCCAGCTCCAAAGGCATCCACTCCAGGGTGGAGGAAGAGGTATCGCACGGGCAGAGGACTCTGTACGGAGGCAGCCCTTTGCACACCGACCCAACACACATCACTTCAACATCTCGTGCGGGCCGGCGTGTCTGTCCCCCATGGGGGAGTCTGTCTGTCTGTTTTGCACCGGGCTGGTATCACAGCTTGTGCTGTATCCCCGCCACGGCATTTGCCACTGGCAGAGGGACACCCGGGGATGACACCTCCTCCAAGCACCAGCCTCCTGGCACCATCACAGGTCCTTACTTCCCCTCGCAAAAGCCGCAGAGGCACCCAAGGCAGCCATTGAGGATCTGGAGGGAGGCCAGCACCATCTCAGTGGCGCTGACAAGCAGCAGGAGGGAGAAGAGGATGACGTTCCAGGCCACGACACCTGCTGGCTCCAGACAGATGCTCCAGGTGTGACGATCATGCAGGTAGTTCTCTGTTCTGCACAATGGGGAGAGGAGGAGATGCAAGATGCTGCCCTGCAGCAGGTCAGGAATTGCATCACTTTCCACCATGGAGGTGTGCCCCAGACACCCTGTCCTTCATCCCGAGGATGAGCAGGGTCAGCAGGGTGATGGGGATGGGAAGCACCACGTAGAAAACTGTGGAAGGTGGACCTCTTGAGCTACCGGGGTCTTGCACCACCACCAGCAAGCCCACCCACCATAAATAACACCAACTTAATTAGCAATAAGCTGATGAGGCGGCACTGGCGACTCAACCCCACTGCCTCACCTGGCATCAGGCTCCTGGCTGCCGGCATCCAGGAAGGGGTAACCCCAGAGGGTGCCATGCCCGTGGCCGTGCTCCGAGGCGTTGTAGAAGCAGAGGGGTCCATTGGTCAAACCCACCCCGGAGAGGACAAAGCAGGCAGCAGCACCCAGGAGCGCCAGCTTGGAGAGCACGGCAGAGATGAAAGCCTGTAGGCAGCACCCGGGAAGGGCAGGGACCGAAAGTCAGGCGGGCTCCAAAACATGTCTGTGTGTTAGCAGCGGAGTTTGGTAAGGGGGCAGAACTCCACTCCCCTTCACCCCAAGGGGCTCCAGCCCCGGGGAGCCGAGGCTGAGGATGGAGTTGTCAAGCTGGGCAGAAGCGGGCAGGGAGTGGGGACAGGCAGGGACCTGCCACATGGAGCCTGGTGGGGCAGAACCCATGCCAGCATGCACAGGAAGCCCTGTCCTCTGGGGAGGTGGCACCATGCAGCATCTTGCCACGGGAGAGGGGACACCCTGCCACATCCTACCGTGGGGCCATAGGAGAGGGGGATCCATGCCACGTCCCACCATAGGGCCACAGGAGAGGTGGCACCCTGCCGTGACCTAGCATGGGAGAGGGGGCACCATACCATGTCCCACCACAGGACCAGGGGAGAGGGGGATCTGTGCCATGTCCCACCATGGGGCCATGGGAGAGGTAGCACCCTGCCACGTCCCACCACATGCCGCTTGGGACTGCTTTGGCATGGGGGTCCCAATGCTGCCTTACGTTGCGACGGGTGCCGCAGTCGGAGCAGCCGGTGCATCGCCACCCCACCGCCGTGATGTGGGTCGCTGCCAGCAGCACCTGTGGGAAGGAAAAAGTGGATGGGGGATGAAGGGGAGCCACCTGCTCCATCCCTTCCTCCCTGCTCCACAGACACGCAAGGAAGGACGCGGTGGAAACTGCGGTACTCACGGCGATGCCGCCTCCCCAGATGCCCGGCATGGCCTTGGCATGCTTGCTGATGTGCCCCTCTGCCAGGTACTTCGACGCCCCGCCAGGGAAGAGCAGGAGGATGTTGGCTGCCACAGAGAGCGTGCCCAGCACCAGCAGGCAGGGACCCACAATCCGGCTGCATTTCCCCACACACATGGCCACCCTGCACAGGGATGGGGAGGAAGAGGAGGAGAGGAAGGGGCTGCCTTCAGCCCTGCAATGCCCCACGGCTCCCCCACCCCGAGCCCATCTCACAGCTGCGCGTGGACAGGAGTTTGCTGGTTTGTGCTTTTGGGTCCCAGCCTACCCCACCAGCACTGCCCTTACTTGAGAGCAATTTCCAACGGAAATCCTATTTTCCCCACACCATCTGATTAATTAAATATTAAAAATAAATTCAGTGTTAATACTGATCTACTGCTACCAAACAGTTTTCTTGAGGTTGAGCTATTTTATCATAGAAGGAGAAGCCCAACTTCAGACCTGCTAATATTTCTTTGCCAAATGGGCAAGGGAGTTTAAGAAACCTTGAAACCTGTGCGACCCGCAGGGTCGGCTCCTCCAAAACGTTACTGCAGGAAGGAGACCAGCCACTGTGGCTCAGTTTGAATTTGAGTGCTTACAATGAGCAGGAAAATTGCCAGGAAAGGGGCAAAATCTTTGGACAAGGACTTGTGAAAGCACATCAGTCTCCAATCAAATCCAACAGCAACTCCATCCCCATCACACACTAGTCTTAGCATAGGTCTGAATATGCTGAAACCAATTACAGTTAATTAAGGAAAGGTTATCACCTATCCTCAGGCAAGCCATCCAGCTCTGCTGGCATTTTATTAAGTTATCAGTTCACCTAGAAAGTGCCTGCCCATCTCCAGGTGATACCTTGTCAAAAATTAGCTCTCCCTCTTCTCTACCTGGCAAGAGGGGGGATGTCCATTGGTCGCTCTGGGACTGCTGAAAACAACCTGGTTTGCTGTTGTCCCAGCTTCCCAGGTTTCTTCTACCCTGTGTTCATTTTTGCTTCAGGTTGGTTTTATGTATTTTCCCCTTTCCCAGTGGCTTGCAACCCGTTTTGCACAAGCTCCCTGAATCAAGCTGCTTCTCACAGTGGCTAATCTATTTCAGGCTCGCTCTGGCTTTGCAAAAGCAGAAGTGAACAGGCGCCACATGGTTGTTTCCATGGGAAGAGCTGCCTCAGCCCCCCTCACATGAGCAATGGGGAGGAGCAGCTCAGGCTGTGCATCCAGCCCCTGAATGGCCAGAGAGGCCAGGGGGCACCAGCCCAACAGGGCTTCACATCGCTGTGACCTGCTAGAGACCAGCCACGCCAGCCCCGGCAGGCTGCTGGGGGCCAGGGAGGGCTGAATGTGGAGGAACAGGGCTGCAAAACCCTGCTGCATGGAGAGGATGCAAAGCCAAGAAGCCTAAGGTGGACCACCAGCTCCACCCACCCTGGAGCTTCGCTTCCCCTCTGCTTTCTATCCTCCCTGCCTTGGTTATAAGGAATTTAGGGCCTCTCGCCCTCACTGCGGTCCCACCTGCAGTCCAGGGATTGTGCGTGGTTGTCTCCCCAGAGCCATGAGCATCCAGTGCTGAGTCCCACCTCCCCACTTTGGTGGACCTTCCAGCTCTTGCTCCTCTGGAGCTCAGAGCATGGGCTGCTCTCACCAGCCAGAGGCTTTTGTGGTCTTCTGCAATCTCTCCTTAACCTCGCGCCAAGGACACTCCTTCCCCTCCACTGCTGCCCTCTCCCTAGGGCAGAGGTCTCCTTCCCTCAGCAAGATCTCCACAGCTTGCTGTCCCCCCAACACTCCCCTTGAGCAAGAAGCAAGTTTGCATTAGCTGCTTTCTTCTACCTCAGCCAATACAGACAGACAAACCCCTCTGTAAGGGGAGGTAAAGCAAAAGTGCAGCTGAACCAGTCTCTGTTAGGACACTCGAAAGAAAGACTCCCTTCCTGCCAGCATGTCTCCATGGCCAAAAGCAAGAGGATTCAAGCAAAGCCCAGGGAACCTGTCCTCCCGCCTTCCCAGCTTACCTGGGAGCGATGCCACATGGAGCCAGCAGCGTCCACCCCTCAGATGAGCCCTGTCATGGAGACATCACCCATGGGTGACTATTTATGATGTCCCAGCGTGTGCTCCACATCTTCCTCCTCCACCCCAAGGTCCACCCACCGCATCAGTCACGATCCTTCCCTCTCCCACACAACCAGCGGCTCAAAAGGAAGAATGACTGTCCTGTCTGAATGAGGCAGCCTCTGCCGGCATTGTGGCTGATGCTTCTGTTCGATTATGCCCCCTTTCACTGGCAGAAGCCACAAGTCCACCAAAATAAGCACAACTTCAGATTTTAAGGCTTCTACCAGGTCTGCCCTAAATGCCTTGACCATTGCCTGAGTAGCAAACACCGTTTCTCCTAGAACAACCTGCAATGTAGGGAGAACATTTTCCTCTCTCCTCTGCAGCCCACTCCAAACACTATTGTTCTGTCACCGTGAGTCCACATCCTCCACCAAGGGCTTCTTCCATCACATTTCACCTTATTCCCTCGTTGTGCAAGAGCTTTGTGCATGGATGCTGAACAGTTCAGGTTTGCCTCTTCTCATTTTTACCCACGGGGGAGCACACTAATATTTTAATAAAAGCTTCTAAACAAATATTCTCGTGTCTAAGCTGGTTCCTGTCTCCTGCCCTTTGCTTCCTTGCAGATGGCCCAGCTTTTCCTCCAGGTGTTGAGCATGTCCCCATTACATATATATCTCACACCTTGGTGATAACATTGAGAGAGAAAGGTTATTTCTGGATCTTAATTATTGCAAGTCATCAGACACCAGCATTTCAAAGTCCCATCCGGGGTGCCCGTGGCTGACAGCGTGCAATGGGGAAGCTCCTCTTCTGTCCCCATAGAGAAGGTCTGACAGTAGCAGCTCCAAGACGGGAACAGAACCAGGAGAACATGACCTCTGTGTCTGAGAACAGGAGACAGGGAAACTGAAGTACAAAAAATGGCAAAAATAGGGCAGTTTTTCTGGCAGAGGAGTTGCAGGCAGCACAAGCAAAGAGGAGAATTGCTCATGGGCTGTGCAGGCAAAAGGAAGAATCCTCTTCATTCATTATGAGAACCCGAGGCACATCAGCTGCTTCGGACATGGGCTTCCCCATCTGCAACAGCCACAGGACACAGAGTGTAAGTGCAGCTATCTTATAGACCTGATACAGTTTTGCTCCAATATAGTAAATAAAAAAAAGCAACTACAGTGCTACCTTTTGGTTTATAACCCAACTTGCTCTACCTAGGGTAACACACCCAAGTAGCATGTTTCAAAGTGGCTTCTCCTGCTTTCAAATCAATGAGTACGGGACTGTCGAGAATATAAAACCTGCTCTAAGTACAGCGTGCCACTGTTTGTTGAAAGAAATAGAAAATGGAGTTGGAGCCCTTGAGTGCCACATGGAAAAAGATGAACTGGTGAGGCTGGGTTACATCAGCCAATTCCGTTTTTCTAGGAAAAATAAGGTGAGAGGAGCACATTATCTGAATAATGATAGTTCCTCTGAAAGGAAAATCAGAGTTTGCACCAGCACATAAATCCCCGTTTTATTCTTAAGTAAGATGAATTGATCTCTAAAAAGCAGACAACAGCAAAGGCAAAACATGTAGGACAGCAGACTGCTGAGAACAATCTAATTTTTCCTTCCTCTCTTTTTTTTGCTTAGAAAGAGAGGAAGCTTTTTTTACTCCACTGGAAGAAAATGTGTTGCAACCTCATCTTGTGCCCTTTTCTACGTCATGGCAATCTGAGCTTCCTACGTTGCCACACACATGATCTGGTCAATCATCTCCCACAGAAAAACCCATGCCATTCAGCGTGAAGCGTCAGGGTGAATCTTTTCCCCAGGACCACTGATCTTCCCCTTACACCCACTCCAGCCCAAGTCCGTAATAGTAACAATAATAATAATAAAAGGCTAATTTTAGCCCTGCACAGCTTCCCAAGCACCATGAGTGGCTGCATGCCTCCCTTTCTCGCGTGGGAACTTAATTATGAAAGCGTCAGCACGGCAATTACGGGCAAGTAACTTGCTGCCAAGTCACCCAGCCACGGCGCTGTCAAACATGGTCCCACGCAAAGCGATTCTGACTCAGCAAGGTCCTCCTGCTAACTCCTTCACTGACACCAGATTGCAGCTGAAGAGATGCCAGCCGCTTTCATCCTAGTTGTTTTGTGTCGCTTTATCCCATCACACTTAGAGGGCTCTGCCTCTCCAGTCCATGGTTTGCAGGTCACGTTCGGCAACGGTTCTTTCTGAACTTTAAGGTCTGTGAGCTTTTTATAACCATTGCATCCACCCTCTTAAGCACGCTCCCCTGCTCTTTGCTTCCCCAGACTCCTCTGGGGCTGTGGAAATTGCACAGCAGGTTGGGTTTCAAGAGTGGTTTGGCTTCAAGGAGAATCAAAGAGGCTGAGTTGAGTTTGAATCGGCGAGATCGAACCATTCTGTGCCAAACCAACCTCCACCTCGGTCCTGTCCAGAGGATGCTCAGCACAATTCAGTGGTCTCTCCCACTCCTCTCAGTAGCATCTGCAAATCTATTTCTGCCACTAGCTAGCTAAGACTTTTCTGAACTCAGGTGCAGGCACGTTTGCTGCCAACCGTGATCCCCTTAGACAGGCCCTGCATGGAGTTTGTGGCTAGAACTCAGACTGAAGAAATACCAACATGATGCTGCTAAACAATATGGCATTTGCTTTAGCTTCCTTATGAATTTCACCTGATTTAATACTTCAGATGAGATAAACCAACCCAGTTAAAAGTTGGAAGGAGTCTGCAGAAAGGAAAAATAAATAAATTAAAACCAAGAGCTATCTTGAGTCTATCCTGTAGTTCCTTGACCTGCAGACTGTGATGAAAAAATATTTCCGACTCAGTTGGAACAGGAAATATTTTCCTAAGCTGCATGAAAAGATCAGGCTGTTTTCCAGCCTTGGGAGGCGCACAAGCAAGTCTTCATCACAGAAACCAGAATTGTCCAGTTAACATAGTGAGAAGGAGAGGTGCACATGCCGAAAACTAAAGAGCAAGTCACTTCCAAGACAGTCCTGGAAAGGCAGCTAGACCAACAGCCTTCTCCTGGGCTCCTCCGGAGGCCAGTGCCTCCCAGAAGGGTGTTAACCACGCAACTTGGACATCATCTCTTGAGAAACCTTTGGGTTTGAATAAGCCAAGCCAAGCACATTTGCCCTCCTCTCCAAGGCATGCTGGAAATGAGTCACGATGAACACTGGTTGAAGGTTTTAGCATGACTGTTGGCACAGTCAGTCACCCTATTCCATAACTTTTTGGAGGGTTCAAACAGGGCAAGACTGGGGGCAGTGGCTAAGTTACTGTTTCAGTGAAGACCCACCTACGGTCAGGAACATGAGGATGACCAGAGATCAGTTTCTTAAGCTTTTGCTTCCCCACTGTACCTGCTAAGTACTTGTCCAGAAGGGACTCTGCTCATCGGCATTTCACATGAGGCCTTTACAGGAACGTCCCAAGAAGCCCAAACGACAGTTGCAGAAGTTAGAGGCTCCGTCTTGACAACACCTGTACCAGGAGAACATTGCTGGTTCAGAATAGAAAGCCACATTTTCTCTGTTCTTCCACTGGGAAAGACAGAAAATCCTAGCCCTGCCTCTTTTTATTCATTTTCATAAGGGTATTTTTCCTATCAAGGTACCAAAAGTTTGTCTCACTTCAAGATTTTGTGACCTCTAGAATGGGATGAAGCTTTCTCGGTCTAAGCAAGCAGCTCGCTGTAATCAACAATTCCTTATCAGCAGGAACCAGATGCTTTCTACTGAAGTCAGCTACTTTGTCATATTGATTATCAGACACCATATTGCAAACAGGCTTCAAATTCAGGCAAGCCCTGTCCTTGCTGGCTGGGCAGACCTGGAGCTAGTATCTAAAATTACACACATTCGGACTTCTTCAGCTGAGCTGCAGCTTCTGCTGCTTATTTTGTAAAGAGAGACAACGCCAATGAAAGCTGCTACAGCCAGGGTAGGAAAATTGTAAACTTCCCAGAGGTTCAACAGAAGCTATGGCACCTGGACCTATTCTGCCAAGTCGAGATTCACAGACCAGGAGGCAAAGGAAAAAGAAAAGCACCCAATCTGACAGTTTTACTAAAAAGTCAGATACACACACATAGGGAACTTGGCTTGATTTTCTTTCCTTCTACCCCAATAACCTTAAGGAAAAACTCAGAAATTCTCCATATAATGCAGGGACAGACTTTCATTAGAACAACAACAAAAACCCCAAACCCAAAAACTGAGATATGAAGAAAGCTACTGAAAACAGTTTGTTTTATTTCCAGGATCAAATATTACAATAGGACATTTACATATATTTATAAAAAAACGCAGCAGTTGTGTATATAGATCAGAGGTTTCCTTGAGTTTGGTCCCTCCCAGCACAGTGAGCTGAAATCTTCTACATTAATCCTCTCCCTCCTCCCACATGAAGTCGCCATCATTGAAGAAAAAAGTGACCACTGTAAAAACTGACAGGCAAAGTCACAATTTTGAAACTGTAGTTTCACCAATTAGAGGAAACAGCCTCATTTAAAAAAATCATCTATCCTATAGTCTGGTGTCTCTGGTGAGGCACCACGTCTCTGAGTTGAGTTTTACCCAGATGTTCTTCATATAAATCTGTTCTATAAAATAGCACCTCGCCCCCCTGCTCCATGTACTTTTACTATCTATCCTTCTATACCTTAAAGTCTCAGCACCATTTAACAAGCAGTTACAAAATGACTTTTCTCTGTACTGCAGACACTCATGGTAATTAAAGACAGTGACCAAATCCCAATTCTGCAATCGCTCATAATATACCCATGTAAAACAACAGAAGATAAAACTGAGGCAAGTTGAGGCACTGATGTTAAGTGCCGCATTCTCTGATTAAAAACACGTGTGTGTGTGCATATGTGTGTGTGTGTGTATATACATATGGCTATATTTATTGGGAGTAGACAGACACTAAGCATCTCATGGACAAGAGGAGACTGGAGTAAAAG